ATAGTCGGTGAAAAATTATAATTTTGTTCTACATATGATCTCATTTACTTATTAACAAATCATTTAAAAGTATTTTTTAACTTCAGAATTATAAAAATTTAGATTTCTGTAAATAGAACTATACATTAAGAAGATTATGATTGATCACTTTGAATGATCACAATATATTTACTATTAATTTTAATGACGTTTCAGAAAATAAAAGCTCTGATATTAAGTACTTTAATTGTTGATCATGCTGTTACAAATATCTAAATGAATAAAAGAATGCTGATTCTGCACTTTTAGAGGACAACAGCATCTCTCTCTATCTCTCTCTCTCTCTCTCTCTCTCTCTCTCTCTCTCTCTCTCTATATATATATATATATACACATATTAGATTGGGCCTCATTTATTAAAAAAATATTCAAATTATCTTTTATGTTTAGGGTTAATGGCATCATTCATATATAATGTTTTGTGCTTATACTCACTATAAACAAGATCAAGATCAACATAGGGCGATCTCTTGCATCAATGAAGAATAACATTAAGACATAGGACAAAGAACTCCTACAAAATACATCATGATAACTCAAAATATGCTACTCGAATTTGGTGTGTGCTTCAAAAGGGATTTTTTATGAATAATTTAAAAAAGAGTTTTCTCTCATTTTAGTACATTTCAAGAAGATGATGGGAGTTCTTGACCTTTCACTAATTGTTAATGAACTGTTCTTTAATGAAAAATTTGGCAGGATTGACAAATAAGTGGATATTTTGATAAAAAAAGAGAATAAAATGAAGTACAAACATGTCCTCTTGCTTAATCAGAAAGACATGAAAAATAAGAACATCAAAAACCAGTTGAATATGCATGATGCTCTTGTAACAATCAATTTATTCACATTCAAATTGATTGGAAATTAGTTGAAATGACATTCACGTTCTAATTCATTATTATTTTTATTTTTTTAAAAAAAATATTCTAAAACTTTGAGAAGTTGAACTTATTGTTTCACTGTCTTGTGAAGAAGATCCTCTAATTTAGGGATGGGTGGCCTTCATTTGCTAGAATATGTTATTATTAATAAAACGATTGGTTATCAACCGTTGAAAAAATATTGTTTATATAATACTAGGAATATTTTCATATATGATGTCAAACTATTCATGCTAAAAAAACTTAAGAAAAAAGTATACCATAACTTTGCATGAAGGTCCCAAAGATTAAACTGGCACTGAAGAAATGAAAACTTTTATGTGGAGACCAGAAAAATAAATCAATGGATTTGACTGCGTTAAAATAATCCATTATATATGTACAAAAAATTTCAAAAGCATGTTATTCTCTAGAATTGTAGAAGAGCAAAAAGATTAAAAATTGATAAAAGTGATGATAAAAGTTGGATGATGAAAACAAAAAGATGGTGATCGAAAGCCAAGGGAGATGATAGTCAATAAATGGTGACAGTTATGAGATAGCATTTAGCATGGCAGTCTGGAGAATACATTCAAACAACGATGATCAATTTGTGATAAGTAGTGGTGATAGTTGTCAATATTGATTGTAAGACTAAGCTTCATTCAGAGTATTACATATCTTCAAGCTTTCTCCAAATACAAGTCCAAGTTATCTTCATATGAAGCATAGAAACTTATTTTTACTTTCTGAGTGCGACAATTTGTTGAATTTTGCTCAATTTTGAAATAATAAATGGGATGTCCTACTTTATTATGCTTTTTATCAAATGGTTTGGTATTGATTTTCTTTTTTATTGATGATTATTTAGCATTTAAGTATCTTGATGACATTGAAATTGAGTAATATCACAATTATTAGATATCTTTTATTAAGACACTCAATGTAAGCATAAGCATAGATTATTTAGAGATTATTATGCTTTAAAATTCTTAAGCACATTTCAATTGCATGATTTGGGCTATTTTTACTCATATTTGACCACTTTGGTGCCATCATATTTGTCTCTTTGAAAATTTAACTTCGACTATAAATATGTTGCAATTGTAGCTCTAATGTATATTTTTGAATTTAATTTTGCAAGCTTTCAATTTAAATAATGCATAGAAATGAGTGCTTATCAAGTTAATATTTTGAAAATATAATAAGTGTCTAGAGTTGATGTAAAGAGAATAAAGAAATTAAAATAAAATAATAAATAATTTATAGATTTATTATTATAACTTATAATTGTTAATCTAAATATTTTATCTACTATATTATTTCTTTCACTCAAATTCCAATGGTCCTATGGCTTGAAAGTTCATGGTGGGATTTTAGTTTTGATTCATCTTTCAAGGATTATATATATAGAAGATTAAAAATCAATGAAAAACAATCATAATAAATTATAGCTATATTCAAAATGATTAGAGATAAATAAACATTAATGATTAAAAAATAAAATCAAACAAATAGAAAAAAAAAGGATGACATTGATATGATGTTGATAATATACATAAAAGTCAAATAATAGAGGCACTAATTAATGGAAGAGAAAGTGGTCATAAAACTAATGAATGGGACAAAATACTATTATTGTGTATTGAATTCTTTAAAGGAACGGCTGATAAGAGACAAAAAGATGAGCTAAATAACAAAAGCAGGGGCCTAATTTTCACATCACCCCAATTGATATTTGCAGAAAAAGCCCCTTTTTTAAGTTGGAAATTTCATGACATAAATTATTATAGACAAATGGCTTAAACAATGGTTAGATAGAAAATAGGGTGTTGTGGACTTAAGTAAATAACTATTTACATAATGATTCATCAATGAAAGCTACGGCCATCAAATCTCCTTTTAATTAATTTGGAGAAATAAAATATGAAAGCTATATAATATAAGTTTTATTTTAATGATTCAAGCCTGGGACTTTCTTTTTAACCTTTCTTTGAAGTATTATTTAACATCATTTGAAGCTCCATTTTGTTGTTGCTAGCTTCCTTCCAATTCTAAGCTCTTCTAAACTACCATTAACTTCACTAATTAATCAATAGTTTATAGTTCATGAGTAAGATAGCCATGAAATAATCATTAGATAAATCAAATTTAAAATTGTTTTGTGCCGAAATCTTTTTTTTTTTTTTCTTTCAATGGATAGATTTGGAGGATTCATTGGCTTAGTTCGGAACAATTTAGCAAACACACAATTGAAGAGATCAATGCTAAATTTTATAAAAAGGAAAATAATAATTATAACTAACCTATTTGGAAAATTACTATCAAATATAGATTTGGTCATAAGGTCCCATCATTTTTTTTTTTTTGAGGTTCTATAAGGAAGTGTTGAAATACGAATATCATTTGCGTAAATAATTGTCAAAAGGTCATCACAAAAGACAATATGCATAATTTGAGCCCGAAACCTCCCAGTGAAAAACTATACTCTTCACCATTATGAAACGGATAAATATGCAATTATCAGGATTTAGAGTTACAAATATAAGAGTCTCATCTTATGATTGAAAAGTGAGAGAAGGTGTATTCAATTATTTATATAATTCGAAGAGATTTTGTAAATTTTAGAGTTCCTTTGATTGCCTTAATACAGCCTTCCAAAATTTCTAATACAAGCAGTTAGGGAAAAAAGGATAAGCTCACAATGACTCTTAAATCTAATGATGAGGTAAATGAGCTTTCATATATTGGAAATGTTGAATACTTTTGATAAGCTATAAACCATGAGCTCAAAATGTTCATAAAAAATATATACAACATTAGAGAAGGATTCATTATCATTTAGTTCAATTTGTGATCTTTGTAGAAGAAAATTAAGCAAATTATTCTACCTAGTTGGTTTAAGAGTCAAGGAATTAGAAAAGAAAATTAACTAATGAACAATCCTCTGTAACTTCTGCTACACATTCAATTCAAAAGAAAACATGATATGCTTGCGTATAGAAATCATGAAACAAAATAATGTGAAATTCACATTCATACCATAAAATGCTTACGCATTCACATATCTAACACTCAAAATTTGTTATTTACCTTGTAATCTTGGTGTCATAAACCTACCCATAAAAATGTTTAATTTACTTTTAAGAAGACAGGGATGTAACATTTTTGAGTTTATTAATTCTTATGCATATATATTTCTCACACCTAAACTTCCATATTTACATGTATAGCATTTTGAAAAGATTTATTTCACTTGTAATAAGGCCATTTTTGATGTGATATTAAAGATTCAGGTGCTATGTGTGATGTAAATACATGAGAATTGTATGCTAAGTACATGTATAGCATTTTGAAAAGATTTATTTCACTTGTGATAAGGCCATTTTTTATGTGATATTAAAGATTCAAGTGCTATGTGTGATGTAAATACATGAGAATTGTAAATGCCCCTAATTTGAAAATTTGATTGGCGTGCATGTAAATATAAATGTTTAAGCGCAAGACATGTAAATACATAAGAACTGTGTGGTGTGCATGTAAATACGCCTAAAATATTTACTTTTTTGGTCCACTGTTCAGACAACTAAGATCTGATGCAATTAGTGTAGTGATATTAGGAGGTCTATGAACTGCATGCCATAGAAAGGCTTGCCAGGCCAAATAAAATTCGGACTCTATTAAAAAGCTGCTTGATTGCAAGCCCAACACTTCTGATTCCAAATTAGCTATCAAAAGGTTTCAAGGCTGGATGGAGTTTTCTAATTTCATCATTTCTTATATGAAATAATCTGACCAGTACTTCGAACATAATGCCACATCTGGAAAAAAACAGTCACAGAGAATGATTTTTTTTTTTTTTTTTTTTTTTGGGCCAAAAATTATAATGGATATAAAACTTCAAACACTAATTTAGCCACAAACTGTGAGAAAAATACAAGAAAATCTCACTTTATATACGCATTTATTTGGGAATTTTTATGTATTAATTGCCACTCTGAATCACTAACACACCTAATAAAATATAACAAGGAAAGATTACATATACAAACCATAAAATTATTCTTCACTCACCGGCAGCAGGTGGCCTTAAAACTCTTTTTTTTTTTTTTTTTTACAGTGATAGCAGAGTTGAGTTGTTCAGATCAACTTCTGTAATTTTGACTTTGCTTACATCCTCTGTTGATTATTTTCTGAAGAGCTTTCTTCGCCTCCTCCAAAGTCCCAACACCATGCTCCACTTCAAATGACAACCTCTGAATGTTAAACTGCATGGACAACCTTCAGTAAAAGTCCAAAAAAAAACTTCTTCTAGCCGATTCCAAAATGTATTATTCGAAAAAAAAAAATTAAGTGCCGATGAGAAATAAAATTTTTGAAGCAGAGCAGCAACCAATATCTAACCCTTGATTGGTAAGGTTTGCAAAAATTGTAATGCAAAGTGATAGAATGAACTGATCATCACATGTGAAGAAATCTCAGTTGTTAGATTCTTGTCAAAATTGATCTTTATTATGTGCTAGTTAGTTTTTCTCATGTTTTAATTATATTTATTTAAGTTCTAATTTTGCAATAAGCACAAATGATTTTTCATATTATACAAGTTAATTTTAGTATGCATTGAGAACTATAAACTTCCATGCATTCCCCTATTGGTTCATTTATTCCCTTTAACCATGCGAGAGAACAGTAAATACAATCTATTCTATTGACTATTGTACATCAAGAAATATTCAATAATAGACTGCTTTGACCAGTTATGGTGATTTGCCGAGGCCTGCCATATTTGTATTAAGGGGATGATACAAATTTAATGACTCGAACACTATAAGACAAAATGCCTTCCAATCACCCCTTACTACAACGAAAAAACAGAAAACTACTGAAAATTACCTGATAAAAACTACTGATAACAAATAAATCCCAGTCAGTCTAAATTTTTGAAAAATATGGTCATTTCAAGTTGTACAAAGCAAAGCTTGCTTACCATATTGATCAGAAATCGTCAGGCAATAACTAGCACAATTAAAAGTGTAAATAAGACCAATCAAGCTAAAGTCAAAGATATCTTAAGCTCAGTGCCCAGCTCGAACTACAGCTCAAGATCAAGTCGAGCTCATGTGATGAGCTTGAGCTAGACTCATCCATAACTCCCAAGATCAAACTAGTGATCTCCAAAGAAAACAGTGAAGTCTATGGGAGCTTGCTGAAAAAGGATTAGTGGGAGCTCATTGAAAAAGGAAGGTAAGAGTGTTGTAAAAAGCACCGATGGGACCAACGACAAGAAAGTCCCACTTGGAGTTCTCTGTAGGATGCATCAAATGGACCAAAAGCAAAGCAGCCTAGGACCATCACATCAAATAAGGATATAAATTTTCTAAGTCGTTTCTAGAGGATTCTATTAGATAAGATTTTGGCTCAAGAACTTATTCATGACCTGGATAGAAAATGTAGGAGTGGCAATCTGATGATGAAGCTGGATCTAAAAAAAGCTTATGACACAAAAGCTGGAATTTCATCCTCGAAGTCTTACATGACGGAGGCTTTAACGCTGATTTCTGCTCTCTTATTTCTAGATGGTTAAGATGCAACAATTATAGTGTGTTCATTAATGGGAATATTTGTGGCTTATTTTCTTCTACAAAAGGCATTAAGCAAGGTGTCCCCCTTTCAGCCACTATTTTCATTATTGCTTTTGATTACTTTTCTCACATGGTTAAAGAGTTACAGAGCATTCATTACAAAGCTTCAATTCAATTTAGCAGCTCATCCTCAAGTGGATGGAAAGACAGATGTGATGAATGGCAATTTATGTAATCCACTCAGGTGATTCCTAGACAATATATCCGATAATGGGACTTGATCCTCCCCAAAGTCAAAATTGCTTATAATCATTTAGCCAGTTAGTCCGCAGATAACAATATTTGAGTTTGTTGGCAGAATCCTCTCACCCCATTGAAACTACTGCTGATACTAGCCGCTACTTAGCTTAGCAAAGCTGCCATGAATAGCGTAAAAAAGATTCAAGGCCTTTATGAGCAAATGAGAAGAATTGCCAAGCAAAACATTGAAGTAGCAGAACCATACTAATAATTCTAAAACAACCTAAATTTTTAAGGAATGAAATTTAGTATGGTAAAATTTGAAAAATGAACTTTTTCTAGATGTTTTTGGGAAGTTCAAGCCAAGAGCTGACGGCCCATTCAAGATTATCAAAAAGATTAATGAAAACACGTACAAGATGGACCTATTTAGAGACTCTACTATTTCTACTACGTTCAACTTTGTTGATCTATCATCATACAATGAGGATCCAGGTGCTCCTAGTGAAGAAGGAGAACCATCTACTACCCCGAGAGAATGAAGTGGACATACCTGTTATTCGCCCCTAGGCGGGGGTCAAGTTCAAGAAATCCCAACACCAAAACCTGACCGACCACTCGAACGTAGCTATTATTTGGTTGAGATTACCAATAGCTTGTTTGGGACAATGTTGGTGAATCTCCCTTGGATTTCGTGCCTTGCAGGTAACATAGCTTGATGTGCTGTTTGTTGTCCTCATCCTGAACAACAATGAAGTCCCTTTAATCCACTTTCAATCTTCATCGACTTCACATATTCTATTCCTTTTGTCATTCTACAATGTTTGCCCGCAAGATCAGATCCTCAAAAACCTTTTAGGAACCCTAAAACAGTACCACAACCGAGGCGAGCGTTCACTATAGAGATCATCAAAGGGTTCAATGGCAAGAATAAAGGAAGTCATAAAGAGAGTTGGTTGTAGGAAAAAAAGACTAGTCCGGTCACGTAGGATGGAGCAAATTGTAGGGACGGAGAGAGTGAGGGTGTTAGCTGTAGAAACCATTGATGGTCTAGTAGTGTTTCAAGGACAAAAAACAGTTCGTAAAATTTGCAGTAAACTGAGTTTAGTACAAGGGAAAAATACAACATTTAGGGTTTCTAAACAAGCCAGCTCAAGAGGCAACAAGCTGATCGTGCATGATACAAAAGCTTGAGTTTGAGCTCAAGCTTAAGCCTGTCAGCAAATCAAGTTTAAATTGGCTTGGCTCACTTACACTATACACAACCATACTAGATGTTTGTAGTCAGTTGATTGTCAATTGGTAAGTTTACACACAAAAGAATCAATTAAAACAGTTCAGCATATGTCAATCTTTCATAACAAAATCACGAAAATTGATTATGGGTTAACTAATCATCACACCAACCTGTCCCAACAATTTCGGGGTCAACTTAAAATTCATAACAGCATTTTATGTTGGTTCCAATATCGTGAATTCTCATTATAAAAGCTTCTGCTCGTGTAGCATTTACAGGGGTGGCAAAAAAGGATGAAAAATAGGAAGGAGGTGAGGGGCCAGATAATAGTGTTTCTGTTTCCACATTAAAGGTTACCTGAGCACCCTGTCGAACCCGAATATCTGTACCCTTGCTGTCTACTGATATGAGAGCTGCATCATCTATCTCACCTTCAGCGGATAAGATTTCTCTAAGAGGCTTCGAGAAGATTGCATTAAGTTCCTACGGCAAAAAAAAATACTCAGCAGCAATAGAAAAAAATTAGGCGTTTGGGTATTCAGTATCTATTTCTCTCAGCCCTTACAATGATATAATTAGTCATCATAATTGCTCAAAGTTTCACTAAAATGAAAACAAGGTAGAGCAAGGTTGCTTTACAAAGCAAAAGCAAAAGTAGAGATCATGTACAAACTTTTAAGTTTTGTTCTCCACCATCAGCAGCAATCTTGTCAGGTTGAAGGCCTTCATATTCTTTGACATCGATCCATTGGACAGTGCCAAATCCTCCAATAAAATATACATCGCTGATGTAAGTGTCAGATAATAGTTAGGAAGGACATGCAGAAAGGTTGATTTTTAGCTAATAGAGTGAGAAGGAAAGTTAAAAGTTTGAAGCCTGAGATAAGAAATGGCAAGCAGATTATAAACAAGCATTGTGAATATATGATGCCAATGAACTCCAACAGCTCCTAAAAAAAATCAGCACTTTACAACTGCTGAATATGATACCTAATCCAGGTTTTACATTGCGTAAACTAATAGCTACATAAATATTAAGCAAAACAACAGAGAGTAAGCTCTGATGATACCACGGTAAACTGGCATACTTCATTTTGAAGTTGAATAGTCTCAATCCAGAAGACCTTAGTAGATAAATTTTGCTAAAAAAAAGAAGATTTTGTGATCAACATGTCATGCAGCAAGCCATTTTCATGCAAAACTGTTGATCTATTGGCAGAAGAGCTAAAGCATCACAATCATTTTTTGACATAATCCCCGCAACACAACCTTGGCGAACCATTTTTTTGCATGGTTGGCTTTCACTTTTCCTGGTATGGCGCAGATAATTGAAAAATGCAAAGAAAGCAAATTGATAAAACTCAGACCATAACCCTAGGACCTGTCTTTGTTATCAGTAGAGTAAGGTGGAAAATCTGAAGTAGTTCCACAAAGTCACGTGGAAATCGCAGGGGTTCGCAACCCTGTGACTGTGAGAGAAGCATCCGTTTTGCGCGAGCAAGCAAAAGCAAGCCTAAGGGTGACTCTTTAGATTTCTTTCCAATTTTTAACATGTTTTCTTTTATCCTTGCTTCCTTTCAAGTAATTCCCTATATATGTGGTGTATTAGGGTTGGATTCTCAGTTTTTGTTATGGTGTTGCTCAATACAGCCTCCGACGCCTCCGTTTCCTGTTTAGGGTTGTATCTGCGGGTCAGGTGATCTCTGACTATACTTGCTCCCAGAGTGGTGATTTATCCTTTTCTAACTCCTCCGCATCCGTCCCGCTTCGCTGCACCCATTCCTCATCGTTTTACCGGTCAACAGACCTGCGCGTCCCCACCCGCGCCCACACCCACCCAACCACCTAAAATCCTTTTCGCTGCTGCAGCTGCACCTGTCCACTCCCTTGCTCTTTCCAACAGCCCACCACCTTTCCAGCTGCTCATAACCATTCCAACGCCTTCCTACATTGCTGTTCCCGGCCACAGCCACCCAGACCAGTGCCTATTTGCTGTCCACCTGCAGTTTCTGCAATCTAGCCACCCGTTTCCCTCACCTCTATCCCGCCCAACCGCTCCCACTCCCCTCTTGCTGGTATCACCGGTCCAGCCTTCCCGCCGCTTCCCCCACTCCCAGTGGCTATTTTCCCAACTGTTCCAGCCTTCTCGCAGGGCCGCCGCCGCCCAAAACCACATCTATTGACTGTTTTACTTTCTTCCCAGCCCCCAACCTCCTTGCTGCCGCCCTGCTGTTCCATTACCACCTCGGCCCACTTGCTCTATCTCCTCACTTTGCCAGAGCCCCAACAGCCACCACCACTACCTTTGATTCACCCTAGTCATGTGTTATGTGTCGTGTGTGTTGTTATTTCCTATTTCAGTTCTCTGATAATAAGTTCTTATTTGATTTAGTAATAATATTTGCATTCTCTATTGTTATTTGGTTAAACCCCGGTATCACAAAGTTTCTTACAAAAATTTAATCAACATGCTTCCACATTTTTTATGACCACAAAAGATGACGTAACCACATGGGAAATAAGAAACAGATATTACAAAAGATCTGACATGTCCAAATCCAATATTACGAATGTTTGCTTGGATACTATACCTAATGAATCAAAAGGCAGCGCTTATGTAGTAAGATTTCCAATTAGTCAAGCTTGGAAAATTTGATCTGGCAAGCGTATATCTCTTTCAAGAGAATTCTCATCCAGCTATAATTTGTTAGACAGCAATTTTTGCACATTTATATGCAATATAAGTTTTAAAGTATCAACGTGATTATACTTATTAGCACGTGTACAGCAGGCGAACCTGTAGAAAGATCAGGTTTCCACCCAACCTTATCAAAGTACTGACCTGATCGAAATAAATCAAACAAAATTTCTGTTAGTTCAACTAGAGATTAGGAAAAAAGGGAATAGAACTGTTAATCACCATAAAAATTCCACACTAAACTGAATCGTATCTGGTGGCAGTGATGGACAGCGAATGCAGTATCACACGAGCAGAAAATCTTTCTCATCCACAATATCTCAAATTTTCTTTTAGCTGCACTCATCTCCCCCTTAAGCCTCATACTATTTACTCCTTTGTAAATAAAGCACACAGCTTTCATTTTCTTTGCATCAGCCATTAACACTGATGCGTGCTAGGGAATCGTGGTGGTAGAGTAATGAGTTATCGTCTTAGCGTTGCACAAGAATCTGACACACTGAGATAATAAAAGTAACAGGTAAAAACACCATAAGATTTTACGTGAAAAAGTCGGAAAGAGAAAAATCACGAGGCCTAGCCCAGTTTAAATTATCCATTATGAGTTGGTAATTACAAGTACAGACCTTTGTCCCACAGAAAAGAAAGGGTATACAATTTCTCAAGTTACAATGGTCATGCACAGAAGAGCTCGTTGTCTCACAGTTGGGAGTGGACATAGCGGGGAGTAGTTGTTGGGGCTTTGATACTCCATCTTCTAGATTGTTACAACGTTCAGAATGATGAACTGCTCCGTAGGATGCTTCATGATTGTGCGACATCGATTATTGCTTCGTCGCTCCGCAATGCAAGTCTTGTCTTTGCTCAAAGCTTTGTTGCAATGAGTAGAGGACATCCAACAGTGGTCAACATATGGTGGTCACAGTGGTTGCCGACAGCAAGAGAGGAAAATATTCGTCAGATCTAAAATGCAAAAGAGATGCTGGACTTTAGCTCCTCCTTCAAGCTTCAATGTTGTTCTGGCTCAAGGTCTAACTCCCCTCTCAAGAGAGGGGATGAGTCTATTTATAGTGTCTAGGAGAGTCATGTTTGCAAATAAGAAAGAAATTCAGACCACTCCATTAGACCACTCCCTTAATCGGACGACGTTCAGTGAAAATTTGAAAGTCTTGATGATGTCTGAATTAAAAGAATTTGAGCTTGTTGGATTCGTCTCGTCAAGACGCACTATTTGACTATAAACTTGTCGGATTTGAAATACGTTTGAATTTCCAATTATGTACTGAAAAATTTTTAAATGTGGCTTAACAACTTTAACTGGGCTTGATTTGAATCAGATTCGACCAATTTCGGTATCATTAAGTCCGCCTTGGCGAGCCAATCAATTTGACTGTAAGTTTGCTGAAATCATAGTTCGGTGAACATTTGATTGTAAGTCATGCCTCGAAATTTATGTTGGATGATGAAAATTTGTTGATAGCATATTAAGCATATATACACTTAACCAAAATTTATTGCTCAAGATAGGATGACAAAGTTGTCATATTGAAAGGAATTGCACTGTCAAAGGAAGAATCTGCTCATGTTCTTACAAACATGTGTTGGCCAACTTAACTATGTTAAGCCAACTTAGACACAAGAAAGATAATCCAAGTATAAAAACCACCACCATAGAGAAAGATAACTAAACCTAGGCAGATTCAACACGAACTCTATGTTAGCCAACTTAGACACAAGAACAAATGACCACAAACCTACCTTAGATTAATCTAAGCATAAAAACCTCAGTTAGTCTAATATGTATTATAGTTAGTGCTAAATACTAGGACATATAAAACAAACAAACTTACCCCGTGAAACTAAAAGAAATGTCCTAGTATGAAGTAAACCACGGTTACTAACGAAAGCATTCCAAACCACCTTAAAACTAAGAAACTCTCCATATCTCATGATCCTGACACTCAAGGAGGATTTATAATACAAGGTTGGTTATAGTTGAATGATACCAACGTACCCGAGACGATGAAGGCCGTGTCATTATGACTGGGGGCGTTATTCCCAAAATCTAGGTTAGTTCGCCTATTTGGATTCTTTATAAAGTCTAGAGGTGTTCTAAAATCAACGTTTCACCTCTATCTAGAAAACATTTTTGACTCTGTCTTTCAGTTTAGGAACTCCAATAACTTCAAACAAGTCAAACCAATCATTCCAAACTCATCTTTTGACCTGATCTGATCAATTAAAACTTGCTACCAGACTTTTTCAAACTCTTCAGCCATCATCTAAGTTCAATTCTTTGAGTAAACCTTCCTCCTTGGACGGTTAAGTCCCTTTGCTTGGGTCTTTTCATGGCAAACTGTCATCGAATTGTAAAGCCTCATCTTATTGGAACCTAAATCTTCCAAAACTTCAAACTTGGATCATTTGACACCTCAACTTCGAAAGCCCAACCATTCAATCTAGATAGCATATATCATTATATTAATTGAAAGTTTTCTTTAAGACTCACGACTCTGAAAATGCAATTAAATATGAAAGAATCCAACCCCATAAAAAAATAAATCTTATCTTACACCCATAAGGTAAGTGAAAAAATATTGGTTTCGTAGACTTAAAAAGATTTTTATCATCCAAATGATTAAACACATTTCAAGATGGTAGTTCCTGCCCTCGAGGAGGTATATTAGTAATTAAATGTCATGTTTGATCATTTAGAAGTTTTCGGAGAATTCTTTGGTGTGTAGAGACACAAAAATCTCCCACCAAGGTCTTCTTTTGGCGACTCCACTGGGGAAGGTTCTCCTCTCCATCGTTTTAAATGACTTATATTACTATATATCAGTAATGTTTGTACCCTTAAAGATTCAAGCTACCCATCTTCTAGTTAGATTTTCCATTTATCACATTATGGAATTGGTGCATCAAGCTTACCTGAATTCTAAATCCCGCCACACGTATTCTTTGACTGTTCATTTAAACCTCGTTTACTGAGTAAGGCTATACTCTGCATCAACTCTTTTTTGCGATAAGTTTTTCAACTTAATCATTTGGAGAGCTTAGGGCTCTCGATATCACTACCGGTGGGGT